CTTACCATACAAGGAAAACATAAATTATTTACTATTTAAATTAATTATAGAAAGCAAAAGACGAACAAGACAATACGTTAGGTACTGCGTAACAACATATATGGCAATTTTCACTCTCTCTTGAGTAATTAAAAAATTAGTCTGAAACATGCAGTTAGTGACGTCCATGGCCATCCTGCAGTCCTCCTCGTTCTATTCCCGTATATCTCTACCGTAACGGTGTTATTAATCATGCTGCTTTAATTGGAGGCATTGTTCTCGCCAAGCAACGCTTGCTTCAGCACGCCGCCGCTCCAGCTGCCTCGTTTGCAGACGCGGGTTCTCAAGTGGGGTGTCGTGTCTCGGAGTCCGTCGGACTTTCTCCTCGACCACAACGGAACACAATGGGTGACGTAACGGTTCACGAAAATATTGCTATTACACCGCTACGTTTCGAGTATGAGCACGCTTCTTCAAACGACTTACGTTGACGAATCTAGTAGGGAAATGGCAACAAAGTTGTAAATAAAGTTGCATAGGTAGAAAAAAAGGCCTTCGCTTTGAAAATACTGTCTTAAAACAATTAATTACACGTGTGCATTTAAGGGTATGCTGAATGGAAACATTTAATAAAAACATTAGAAAAACTCCTTAACTATTTATAGTATTAGTGGTAAAAGAAAATATTAACCGAAGTAACATTAATAAATCTTTCATTTAGTATTAACGCCTTTTACCCTTTAGGTGAAATATATATCAAACATAACATTATCTTCAAGTTCAATTTTTCGATTAAAAAACTATATTAGTATCCCTCTTAATGTTTAATTTCTTGAGATTCAATTCTATTTGATCACTGATTTTTTTTATATAATGTTACAACTTTTGACCATCATTCATTATCTGTATTTATACATTAATAAGGATAACTTATCTCTTCAAAAAATTGTATTGCCAGTCTAAAAAGCTCTCCTGAATGAGTGTGCAAAAAAATCACTGTAAAGACATTCTCGTTAACTTGAACACTTATACCTCGCAGAATAGATAGTAGAAGACGCATCCATTGTCGCGACAACGGCGAGTCATGACAGGTCAACGCCCTTCGTTGTGTCGGCGATGCGGTGAAGGGAACGTGGGCCGCTGTAGATGATCGTGAGAGGAACGGCCAGATCAAATCATATGGCTCATTCTATTACCGCTTCCCGGCCAAACCATATCATCCTATCCGTTCATCGCCTCTCGAACTGCGACTCCCAATTGCCGACCGATTTGCTTCACTTTCGTCGACGACGGAACCGGTGAAATGTTGGGATGCACGCTTTCACACAGGAGAAATTAAATGAGAGTGATTGAGAATACACAATTATATCGTTCTTTCTCACAAGACTTCCCCATGTATGGTATTCTGCTGAGAAGTTACTATGACTTTCTCTGCTAATTTGACGCATCGTTTTTTACTTGTTAAATACATAGTATTGTAATTAGAGTTTTAGAAAATACCTATACCAACACGAACAATTAAACTCATTTAAATGAGCAAAATCAATATCAGTCTAAAAATCATTTTGTTTCCGTAATTTCTTATACATTCCTATTCTCTTCTGTGTAACTCTAAAAGTCCTCCCATACGATAAATTGTATCATCACTAATTTTTTCTCCATAAAAATTAAAAATCTATTATTAATCTCTTTCAAATCACCCTTTCAGTTTCTAGTAATCTCTCTGATTTTATGGTAAAACATGTTCAGTCTCAGTTCAGCTTGTACGTTCAAGTTTGGCAATTTCCACCTGCTTTTTATTTATGGTCGGGTCTATCTTAGCGTCTTGCGGCTCTTTTACATGTCTGGCTTACAGACACGCCTAGGAACTTCCAGGACAACTCTGTGATGAACGCTGTGTTGCGTTAAGTCTAGCCCAAAGTGTCCGATATTTCCCCTTGGTTGGTGTTCCTTCGAGATAGCCTGAGGAGCCGACTCAAATCTTACACAATTTCATGAGAACAGATGGATAGTTCCCAAAAATAATAATAATATATTAAATAATAATAATAATAATAATAATAATAATAATAATAATAATAATATAATCCTTTTATTCGCGTCAAGACTCAAATAATAGTGCCTGCTCTTCCGACTAACCCCTTGAATATACATATATTCAGACTCGTTTCATGTAAGAGGGGGAGAGCAAGTTGTACACTATCTTATGACTGGGAGTGCAAAGCAAGGGCCTACGCCTGAAGTGACTGAATAAACGCAGAAAAACTCAATCAGGATGGCAGTTTGGGCCGAAAATTTTCGGCGCTTAGAAGTGGAAGAAAAGGGTAAAATAAGCAAAGGGAAATATAAATAGCGAAAACGAAGAAGAAATCCGAAGGAGGAAAAAGAAGGAAGGTGTATTAAGAGGGGGAACAACTGCACACTAATCACTGGAAAAGCAAGCAAGGGACCATCCCATACTTCTTAAAGTGATTGAATACAAATAAACCCAGAAAAACTTTAATCAAGATGGCTGCTTAGGGTCGAACGTTAATTGTAGAGCCTATGATATATTCGTACATAGAACTGAAAGAGAAGAGAAGAGACATTCAGGAGAAGGGGCTCAAAGAACAGAAATGAAGAAATATGGAAGAAAAGGAGAGAAGATGAGAAATATGCGACAGTACCATTACATTTGTATGCAGACCCATACTAAACCGTGTATCGATTTTATCATTCATATAAGGCTATAGGAACAGGACACATTTTTAAGGGTGACACTTGGAAAACTATAAATGTTTTCCATTAAAAAGATCCATGCCTTACTCGAGATTCAAACCTGATTTAGTTAGGTAACCTGTCTAATGCCTAAGCACTATCAGGATGGTTGACCATATCTACCTTTCATGACACATTACAAAATACTCTTTAGTTTTCCACATCTCGTGAAACTATTTGCTGTCGTAGCTATAGTAAAATAGGTTTAGGCCCTATATTTTGATACTAATTTTCCTAAACTCTGAGTTTAAAATACTACTGATATTCGTTTTTTCTTTTCTTCTGTACCATTTACTATTTAAAACGGGCCCTATTGGGCAAACATAGAAGAGAATTATATTCTTACGTTTCAGTAAAGTGAGCACTTGGTGCTAATGGAGGTGAATCAGGTCAGAGAACATCAGATATGAGGGTCATTTCTTTCTGTATGAAGTAAGAAGCATTAAATACTGGATGAGTACCTCCTGGGTTCTTGTAGTCTTCTTTTCTCTGTTTTCATCCTTTTCTCATCAAGATGGAGTTATAACAGAATTGTATGCGCGTATATTTCCGAGATACGTCTATGCAATCCTCTAAACGTAATAGCATATCTGCATAGCAAATGAGAGTTAAATCGTGAGACAGCGTTCCTGTAACTGAAAGCATATTTGGAGATAGATGTTGACAGGACTTCGAAATCGTTATTTTTTCTAAACTAATTGTATAAACGTCTTGGTTCCAATGCACCCTACGTAACGTATGATATCCACCTATTCTAAAGTAGCTCAGGATCAAATATGGAGGCTGGTTCAAAATATATGTCACAAAGAGCTAGAGAATATAGATCGAGAGTCGAATATTACCTCTTTTTGCAACAAATGGTCGGAAACCTCTTATAACAAAGTTACACACGTGCTTATACATGACGCTATCAAATGGTAGGCAATTCATCATTCACTGGTGTTTGGCAGACACCGAACTCTCAGAAATGGCCAGGCTAATGGCAATAGGAACTTTTTCTTTGTTGTTCACCTTTGACTAAAAAAACATTATTTGACGGCCGTAAGGTTTGGTCCATGAGCAGCATTAGAGACGCACGTTCTGACGCAGTCAAATCATTTTCGGACCCGCATTGTAAATCCAGAACATTCTCTTTCCTATCTATATGATGAATCCATTGCATAAAAATACAATTCTGTTATTAATCTGTTTTAAATCCCCCTCAAAGTTTCTAGTAATCTCTTTGATTTTAAGGGAAAAAAGATTTAGTCTCTTGTGGAACTTTTTATTTCTTTGGACAATATCCACCCTTTTGTATTTTGGTTGGGTATATCTTAGCGTTTTGCCCGACTCCTAACACGTCTGGTATGTAGAAACGCAATATAGTTTTGTCTTTGAGTTCTGTTACAGCCTGTAGTGCTTGCAGCACATTCCACAATTAGGAACAAATTCCATATGTAGTGATGACGTGACGTGTGAGCTACAAACAATTAAATCCAAACATGTAATGTACACTATGTAAAGCTTCACCCTGCGTAAGACCTCTATTAGGGCCTAACACTACCATTCATAATCTTGTCACCCTCCCTATTTCTCCACTTTTAAATTAATTACTAACTGCCTATACTTTATAATATCCCTGGACATTACTTTACTAATACATTACTGTATAATTACATTATTTCCTTTATATTCCATCTTGTTCTCAACACTTCTTATCTAAGGTTTTTTAAACTGGTCTGCCCTGTGCCGTCATCCTGATAAATGTATTCCTAAATATACTCAATCGCTTTTGGCATATTCTAGAATGGTCCCAAGCCTAACATTCCAGATATAAATTTAAAAAAGTTCACCCCTTTTGCAATTTGTTCACAATTGTTAATTTGGGAGTAAGATATGACTGACATTTTGCGAAATCAATATTATTAACTTATCATGCCTTGGGAAAGACATGAATGGGTGTGTCTATATCACAGGAGCTTTCGAGAGGAGAACAAAGGGTAATGTAAATCCTCACGATATCTTCAATTGATGCCCTGAAGATAAAACTGTCATTGCACTTTTCTACGAATCATGAAATGCTAGTTATTATTTACGACCGAATGTTTCGGTTGTAATAATCATTATGTAAATTTATGAAAGTGCTAAGACGTAAGAAACAAAATCGTTAGGCCTGAGTTTTGCTTTATTATTATTATTATTATTATTATTATTATTATTATTATTATTATTATTATTATTATTATTATTATTATTATATTAACTGCGTGCGTGTGCTGTTGCAGGGGAGGTGAACAACGGCTTCGTGGGCGACGCGCACTCCGTGGCCGGGTCGCGCAAGTCCCTCAACCTGCACCCGGTGCTGCTGATGCCGGGCAACGAGGCGGACCGCTTCTCCGAGTTCTCGGGCCGGACGGCGGGCGGCCGCTCCAAGTCGTCCGCGTATCGCGGCGCCGAGTACGCGCCCAGCATCCAGAACTTCCAGCTGTGAGCGCCGCCCCCGCGCTGCCGCCCCGGCGACCACCGCCCGCCGATGCTGTGGACGACGGCGGCGGGCTTCCCTACTCTGCTGGAAGAGCGTGCGCAGATGCCGGTGGAAGCCGACGAGTGAAATGGGCGATAAGTGGTGTCTTGGGAAGGAGAAAATGCGTCATGTTATTTTGTTTTTGATGGCGTTTCAAAATTGAATAGTTGAAATTCAAGAGGTAGAATTTCAGTCGTGTCAACGGTAAATTACCAATAAATACAACAGGAAACGATGAGCGAATTTTTTTTATATCTGAGAATTTTCGAAGTACGAGTGGTATTTATCTGAGGTGACACCAGGAGAGGTTCTGAATTTTCCAATTAATTTTGTGGCGAGTGAATTTATTGGGTAAACTCAACACCTCTAATGGTCTACGTGTCAAAGAACCAGTAGTTCGGTAAGGCGATTGTTCCGTTAACCTGTAAGTTCATTCTAATTCTATAGAGAAATAGAGCTCACCAGCTATTGAATGATGGCATGTAATAGTAACAATAGGGAAAGTTAAAACGATAAGACAAAACCGATCATTTTTCTGGAGGAATACAGCTCTAGAACGAACCTTTAAGAGATGAATACTATAACTCAATTGATCAAAAACTGACCGAAATAAAATATACTATCACAAAAAAGCACAAAAATAAATAATTGAAAAATAAACTTATTATGATAATTCATACTTCATTTTGTGTCAATATTTTATAATACCCTTTAAAATATAATAATAGTGCAATTTCGCGCATTAAAACGACGATTACTCGTGTTTTATTGCTTGGCACGGTATAATTTTCTAAACTGGTATCTTATTATTTCAATAATAACGTAATTATTTAATCAAATAATTCAAACCAATAGCAGGGACGTTCGGAAAATAACTTCACGAAATATTTACATTTGAAATATCTTTCTTATTTATCGGAGTGGAGTTTTTTTCTGACAGTAATACTTTTAATTTGAAACTAGCCATTCGTAGAAACTACCACTATATGTTGATCTCAGTGTATTTTACCAAACGCGAATATAACACCAAGTGTGGCTGTCACAAATAAAAGTGCTATAGAATTTCCCTGGTCCCGAATATACTCCGAATTTGAATGACTAATCTCCCCTTTCTCAATTGTCAAATAAGCAAATTATTATTTAGTCATTCAGAAAATAAAAAAATATAATGGGGATATAATGCAATAGATCTGCTACGTGTTTTCAACTAAGTGGATTCAACTAATTGGACGGTGACGGTGAATTAGCAACAATATTGTGTTAAAAATATTGCTCGTACCTCTCTAAAATGAAGATCAATATTGGGTAGAAAATAATAAACAAAATTTCTGTGTATTAAATGCATCCAAATGAACAAGTGATGTAAAGAATGTGTTAGTAGTTTTACCATTAAATATGAATTAAAAATACTAGGTAAATTATTGACAAATTTTATCTTTCCCCAAGACTATCACTCTCAAGAGCTGATTTGCTTGTGATTCCATTGCAAAGACAACTATTTCCACGAATCGTAAATAATGAAAATAAATAATGGAAAAATTGAGAATGTGATGTTCAGTTCATTAATTGTTCTCATCAGTTCATTAATTTTCAATATTAACGAATTGCGTGTTGGCCGAAAAGAATGATGCCAGAGTAATTAGGTATGTTTTTAACATGCAACCTTAGTAACGGTGTCATGAGAGAAGACTCTCTGCGTGTGTGACTACGTGTGGCTTCTCTGCCAACCAACGAATATCCCACGGCCTCAACGAGCTGTTCCCAACCCCCACCACAGCAAGCCACGGGAGATGAGTGAAATGTGTAAAGTAAACAGCTGTTCCAGCAGCGGCAAAGACTCGTATTTTGTGGTCCCTGAGATTATTGTATTGTATCTGATATGCCTGTTAATATGTCATGTATATGTGGGAGTCTGAAAATGTACTGTGTAAACTACAGAGGCACTGAGAGGCAGTTGTCATAGGGTATTGTGGGTAAACGCTTTTATATCATCGCTGAGACGGTTAGTGAACTAAAGTATAAGTATGGGGATGCTTTTAATGCGCGAGAATGGGAATGTTGGATAATTACTTTTAAAAATTAACGCTGTAATTTTTAGTAGAGAATCCCCCAAAAAATAATAATATATATTTTGCTTTTTATTTCATGACGAATAAAATATTTATTTTTCAATCAAGGCAACAACATCTATAATACATTCGCTTCATACTTACCATTTATACAAAATAAATAATTCAAGATGCTTTTCTTAACGGTAAACAATTTGATTCAAAACTTCTGACAGTCAAATAACACACCTTCAAGTTAAAATATCACTTTGATAAATATCTGCAACGTGAAATAGCGCTAAGGGTTTAGAAGTCTTCCAGACTTGGTAATGGTAATTGTAGCCATCTAGGTAGAGGTAGAAAGATACCAAGAAATCGAGATTACTTCCTATGGAAACGCCTCTCAGTGGCTCCTGGCGTGTGTTAAACATATTATAGAACCTAGCTGTAATCTAATCTTCGTGTACATAGAATGTAAAATTGGTCGGCATTGCTGGCGGGCCCAACGGGACTGCGCAGGTGCCGAGACAACGAAGGCAGACGAGTCACCTGCAGCCGAAACCTCGATCGGCGTCGCGTTTGCGTCCGCGAAGTGGAAAAACCCGTTGGCACACAACAAGCGCAAATTTCCTTCCGTCGCTGATCGGAGTAAATACACTGCTTTCAAAGACTTTGAAAGACAGATTTACTCGGCTGCTCATTTTGCAACAGTCTGTCATAATAGCTCATCTGCATTCCCGTGTGGTTATGTGCTTGTTGAGGTAATAGACTGAAGAATCTCTGTAAAATGTTTAAGTTTATGGAATGAATAGTTTTAGAAATTGTCATCGATAGAATTTCGGAGATTTTGTTACTTAAAATAACTTCATAGATATGGATATAATTTATAGATCCATAACCTTATATTAATTTATTGTCTTCTACGGAGATTTTCCGTCATTAATCTCTAACTTCCTACCATCAAGCACATACCACGGGCCCAAAAGCATGCTTGTGTACATTATCATATGAAATGCTTTTGTCAATAATAGAAAAAGACAACAATAAAGAAAACAATACTCTGCAACTATAAGTGGTGTTTCCATGGAAGTTTGCCAGTTAATAAAGAGGCGGGGCGCGACCGCTGAGACACCAAGTTCTAGCTTCTCTCCCTTTCGTTGGGCGTACACTCTTAGCCGCCGACATAGAGTGAATCAGATCATGCATTTTGGGTCGTTCTCTTTCGTTTGAGAGGAAAGAAATTGGGTACGTTCAAATTGACTTCAATGTAGCATTTCTTAAAATGTTAATAAGAACACTAAGGGCACACAGGTTTATCAAAGTCTTCTGAACACTTGAACTTATTATTTACAATTTAAATTTGAGTTAAAGACTAACACTTGCTTTATTCCTTCCTTGTGTTATCCTTCTTTCAGAATTCCGTTCCCGTTCCCACTGAGAAATCTCTTCTGTTTGGTTCAAAACTACAATGGCGGCAATAGGTAAATACACATTGTAAAATTTAACTTCATTAATGTGAACTCAGACACATTTCTTAGCATTTTTCATAGCTTTTTGTCACTATGATGAAATCTTTTAATTCTTTATGCTTATTATGTTGTCAGTGTTACGTGCATAACTTTATTCTAGATTTTAAAAGTGAACATCTAATTTCTAGAGATACCTTATGCAACATTGAAAGCAATAATGCAGTTATTGTTTTCATTGATGACAAAACTGACTGCATACAAAAATAAAGAGTTTTGCAAATATACCTATCGCATAGAAATTGTTAATATTTGAGAAATTGTTAATATTTGAAGATATTTGTAGAGATATTATAAACATCTCGCGTTGAGGAAACGAACTGTGCTACAATGAAGATTGTCAAACTATTTTCTTAAATTCTATTTTAAATGGCATTAACTGAAGTTAATCACTGAAAAAATAAATACTCAAACATAAATTATGTTCACATGAAGCAGATTAAAATGTATCTTACTACTTTGAAAAGCAATTACATTCACGAAAAGCATCTAGTAGTCTTCTAAGCTAACTACAAGAGATCCTTTATAATGATACCAGTTATAACTTTATTTCAAAGTGTTATATGTTGTGACTAGATTTCATTCAAAATTTAAAGGTATTATTACATTACTCTTATTATCTTTTATGGGTCCATTTTGTATAATTTTAAACATGTATCTGAAAACACCTACAAAGTACCTACACCTTTGAAAACACCTACAAGTCCTGGAAACTAACCAGTTCACAAGTCAGGAAAATAAATTCATTTTTGTTTTAAGAATGTACTATTGACAAATTGAAATAAGTGCACAAATTTTGTGTCTTAAAGAAAAATAAAATTAATTCAAGAATAGCATTATTAATTTTAGGGAGCATGAAACATTATTACATCTGTCATTTTTCATTGATTAGAAAATAGTTGAATAGAGAAAGCGCATGCAGTCCAATCATAGACGCTCAAAGACTAAACGAAATTAAGAAATCAGGACGTCAATGATATGAAGGTCATATTTTGAAAAGAATTATTTTAAAATAAATAAAACGTGTTAGATAAGCGCAATATATATGAAAATACAATGAAACATCAGCTTCATTGAATCATTAAATCACTTACGGTGTGTGAAAACATTTCTTTAAATATCTTTAATATTTGAGTACAACACTAGATGGGATTGTACAATACATTCTGATTTTTGTACAAAGAAATTGACGACGATTATTTAAAACTCACGGAAGTGTCATTAAGATCCTTAGTTACCAAATTACATTCAATATAATACCGTGGTATTAAAATAATTTAGTTAATTAACAAATTGTCATTCATTCAGCTAGTTTACAGTGAGATTTTTTAATAATAACAGTTTAATACGAAACTATTTCAACAAATTCAACATATAAAAGATTCAATGAGCTAGAAATTTTCGTTTTAGGGTAGACGTTTTTCATCGAAAAAGTATTTTGTCCATTAACTTATTATTTGTATGGTATTTAAGAAAATGTAGATTTATTATAATTCCATTTGTCGTCACGAAGAGTAATCCGAATTGTATTCACAATGATACTATTAAATATTAGGCTTGATTTCACGTTTTGTAAAATTTATTTAGTTATAATACAAAATGGTACAAAAGACTCCAGAATGTTTATATATTTATAAAATTAAATAAATTTCAACGAACTGAATCAGTATTTTAAAATATTTGAAGTCGTTCATAAATTACTTAACGTAAATTTGAAGTATTTTTAATACCCCCTCTCCCCCTGTAACGCGAATAGGGGTAGCAAGTTTTGAATGAAAGGAGGGCGAGTAGGGGAAAAATTTTCTGCTAAACCGTGCGCACGTCTGCATGGGTGTGGCATAGTCTCTGTCTACTGCGCCAACGCAATTGGATTCTAGAATATACTGTAGATCAGTTTTGAATATTTTCTTCGTAATCTAAATGATTCAATCAGTATATCATTTATTAAAAATATTTCCATTTATTGTAACAGTTAACTTCTTTAATTTATTATATTTTAATTAAATTCGTTAAACGCTTAATGTTTTAGAATAAGACTTAAAAAATTAATTATTTCAGCAAATGTTGAAAGATTTTAAAAATAAATATCAGCATTACATAACAAACAATGATCCACCTTATCCCTATGCAACCTAGCCTCAGAACTCCTCCCCCTCTTCAGCATTACGCAATTTATGGACGACCTCTTTATAATTAATGGTAGAGAAATAACGCACGCAAGTTGCCATTTAAGCCTATCCACTCTAAGCCTATTTGAATGAACATACCCGATCGGAGTATGAAGTGCATTTGCACACAATAAGGAACGTCTCTCTCACCGTGAGGGTGGAATTCAACGCCTTTCATAGATAATTCAGAAATTGATAGAGCGTTTCCTTTAAATAGGAAAAGGGGCATTCGAATCACATAAATCCATCATACAAATTCCTGATTCCCAAACACAAATCTTTGCTACAGTTTTTTTTTCATTAAAACCCTCGCACTCTAATTATTAGAATTCACCAAGATGGTCGATGTCCTTACATTTCAATTACTTCGACATTTTTAACGACTTCACGTTTATATTAAAATATTAATAAAACACATCTAATATGCAGTCAAATCTTCCTTCAATTTCGATGACTCCTTTACAATTATTTAACTTCACTAGGATTTCTTCTCGTTAAGTATTCTATCAATTCCACAATAATTGTAGTTAGTTTTATTTGTTTTTAACATATATTAGTGCTTCAATTGCAACTCTTGTAAATAATAGTTTATACAACTGTTCAAAAGTACCAATAAATTTTGAATTTCGTGATTGAATTCGGAAAAAAGTTGGAATTCTCCACATTTTCAACTCAGTGCAGATTGAGCATTTGTTTGAAATTAAGAAAATTCAGGATTCGTCACACTTAAAATCCACAAACCTGGATTTTAATTCGGATCAAGAAAGTTCTGACGTTTCGATTCCAAATCACGGCCTAAATTAAGGATAAAATCTAGGATTCGGGAAATTGCAGGATTCGGCCCTCACTTAATTCACAAAGTAGATCTGAAATTAAAGGAATTTGAGAAAATTGATTCATTTAGTAGTAACACACCATCACAATCTGAAATCATTCGTCGTCGTAGCACTGTGACGGGCACGTCTAGAAAGCGACGCTCGCGGCGCTAGGTTGGAAATTGCATTGATATTGGAGGAAATGGAATAGTATTTTAGTGGTAAGTCGCCAGGACAAGGTGATATCGTTTGAATGACGGTCGCGTTTATTGAATAGCAACGCTCGCTGCGGCACGTTGGAAATTTGACTGATATTGGACGAAATGGAATAGTATTTGAGTGGAAAGGCACCAGCGCAAGCAGCGGTTGTTCATCGTGACGAGCGCGTGTGTCACATAGCAGGGTAGGAGTAGGCCGGGAATGTACTCGATGTTAGAGGAAACAAAGTACTTTAGCGATACTCGTAAGTGGCCAGCGTGCTCGCTTGCGCGTTCGCCGTGGTGACGGCGCGCTGGGGCGCGCGTGCGCGCGTGTCAGATAGCGACGCTCGCGGCGGCGACGCGTGCACAGCGCGGCGGCCCCTGGCGCGATCGGCGGCCAAGCGGCCCGAGCCGCCTTCCTTCCGCGGCGAGGAGCGGCCGTGCACGGCGTCGGGCCACAAGCACTTCCCGGTGGGCGGCGACGCCGGCGGCGCCCTGCCCATGCCCGGCTACGGCGACGCGCAGTCGTGGTACGGGCGCGGGGAAGCCCCGCCGCCGGAGCTGCCGCCCACGCAGAAGCCTCCGCGCTCCTCGCTCAGCCTGCGCACCGCCGCCGGCGGACCGCCCTCCGACGGGCAGCCCTTCAAGGTACGACGTCCATGACGATGTTTTCAAAACGGCCACGTTTTTGAAGAAACGTGGATGTATTAACGCCGATGTTTTTAAACATCGATGTACCGGGAAGAGGTTGTTGAGGCCATCAACCGATGTCACTGCAGTGCATCTGAATGGAAGGTCCTAGTTTCGAATCCCAACGGTAGCAGGACTTTTTATTCTAGCGAGATACATAGGTCTAATTCAGCCGTTGTCTGGAGAAGAATTCCAGCGGCCGGCGTCTTTGATCTGTAGGTTTCCGTGCTCTCTCTGATGAATACCAGGCGAATGCTGGAGCAGTACCCTAACAAAGGGGCCACGGAACGTGCGCGATATTTCCTTTCTCTTTCTTTCCCTCTCCTCACCCCTTACTCACACACGCTTATGAACACTACACTAATGCACATGCTGGGAGACCAGTCGGGAGCTTAGAGTCTGTCCCGGCAGGGGCGGTGCCCCGCTTCCTGGTGAGAGATATCTGGTAGGAGAAAACCCCGCTAGTCGACAGGCACGTCGGCGCCGAATCTCACCATCCAGCGGAGGACATTCGCGGGCACGTTCCAACTAAAACATTCTCTACAATTTCCGAAAAATTACCATAGCCGTTGACGCGCCCAGAATCACGTACAAATCAATTAACATCGATGTTTTGTGACTTTTTTCTTCTTTTTTTTGTGAATGAAAAATTCCCATGATCACAATGATGTAAAAGTTAAAATATGAAATAATAACTAATGGTAACTGTTAGTTTACATGTTGGAACCAAAGGCTATTTTTACCACCTTTATCGACGAAACTCGCTCATCTGAGATGACCTCTATGCCCTTGTACGGTATTTCTTTTTTCATATTAATTTCGCATATTGAGAAGTCAACACATGCGCTATGAGCGCAGGGTCTGTCCCTTCTAGTACCCTTATTTAGAAAATTGATAAACACAAATATTGTCAAATTACATTTTGTTTCACACGCATTTGATGTTATACCTTGAAAACATCGATGTTTTAGTCGATATATTATTAGTCTGATGCTTGCTAACATTGATGTTTTGTCATCAATGTCAAGGGCCGCTCCAGCA